TAGGTGCTTTAGACCACTGAGCCATCTCACCAGCCCGCAATTTGTTTTTTTTGAGGATAAAATTCTGCTATGAAGTCTTGCACACAGGCCTCAAACTTGTGATCCTCCTGCCGCAGCTGCCCGGAGTGCTGGGATTACATGTATATGCCACCGTACTTGGTTTAAAGACCCAGTTTTACTTAGCTACTTGGAAAGGTAACATTACAAAATTTTCAGTCTTTATTTACCTTCCTGTTGTAATTGAGCCAAGAAAAGTGCCAGGTATGTATCTGATATTAATTCTGGACCCGTCAAAAGAGAATTCAAGTTAAACCACTGGAAAAAAAAATTGTCAATATTTAAGTTAGTATATGTAACGTAGAAGTTTCACATGTCAAGAATAGATACAGCCCATCAAAACTAAGTAAAATTATCTAAAACAATAGGAATATGACAAATAGATTTCCTTCCTTCCTTTTTTTTGAGATAGGGTTTCATTATGTAGACCAGGCTGGCCTCAAACTTGCAATCATCCTTCCTCAACCTTCTGGCTCTCAAATAGATTTTAAAAAAGTAACTGAATAATATGATTTTTTAAAAAATGAATTAGAATACTGCAGACTTATTATTATTAAAATGGTGTTTTAAAAACTAGTTTCCTTTAAGCCAGAAGTTTTAACCTAGGGCCTACACACTGAGACAAGGTCTTGCTAAAGTGTTAAATTGCAAAGGCTGGGTTCAAATTTGCAATCCTCCTGCCTCTACCTCCAAGAGTGCTGGGATTACAGGTATGAGCCACCATTTCCTATCCTAATAGTACTTTAAAATGCCTTTATTGATAGCTATAATTAAACCTTTTTTAAAGTACCAGTTCATTACTATTCATATTGATGTATGGGAAAATGATGCCTACAGTTTTCCCACTACTGATAACTTTGGTCAACAGATTCTGTATGAGATGTCAGAGTTTATAGTAATACTTTGACAAAGTTTATAGTAATACCTCGTTTTATCGAGATCACTAAGTCACCATCATATTTAATTAACAGCATCGTCATGACCTCAAATGAGTCCCAACAACCCACAAAATACAAAAAGTTTCAAAGGCTATTGTCCTATCATGAACAACTAGATTTTGACACCACTGATAATATATTTTACAGTATTCTCTTTCATTACCTAGGGACCACAACAGGAAAATCTAGTGAAAAATTATAACTTTCAGTAGAAATATAAGTCAGAAACAAAGATAATAAACTAAAAGTTACTATCTGCTTCAATGTCACACTTAATAGTAAAATGTAAGTTCCCCCACAAATCAACACATAGAAATCTGTGTAATCTAAGTTTCCAGACCTTAAAATTACAGTTTTCACCTTATATTAAAAAAGTAAATAGTTGATCACAACCTTCTGAAAGTATAAGTAAAACCAGAGGCTAAATATCCTCAGCAGCGTCTTGCCCTGCTTTCTCTCAGCTGAGTCTCTCTTACGTTGGTCTCCTCTCTCAGCCTTTCCACTGTACTGCCCCTCCTTAACTTGCTTCTGAAATCCAAGGACCTTACGTTTTGGCTTTTGCTGTGCTGCAGGGGCTGAGCCCAGGGCCTCGTACTTTTGCACTTACATGTGCTCTAACCACTGATCTACAAGCCCCAGCAATGTGCATTTAAGAGGAGGCTTCATCCAGGTGCCTGACATAGAAGGTAACAACAAGGTTTCTGTTTAGAATTTTGTTTAGAATGATTTTCTATTGATTTAAGGCAATGCACTTTCTAGACGTTATGTTATTTACTTGTTTCACTTTTAGAACAGTTTTTATCAAGATATAACTGACATGCAACCAACAGTACCAATGAACAGTACAGCCTGAAGGTTTGCACGTTTGTACACACCCATGGAAGCACAAACCCAATCAAGACAGGGAACACATTCCTCGTGCTGGGGTGCTCCGTGTACCTCTGGGGTCCTCCCTTCTCATTCCTCTCCCTCCACATCCCAAACAGTCACTAGTCAACCTGACTGCTGTCCCTAAAGACTGGCTCTTATTTTTCTGACATGTATATAAATGGAACAGTACAGTGTGTAGTATTTTGCATCAGGCTTCTTTCAGCTTAACTATTCTGAGACCTGCTCATGTTGTTGCACATTATCACTAATTCATTCTTGGGGGCTGGCAAGATAGCTCAGGGGTCTGAAGCGCCTGCTTAGGTAAGCTTAGGCAAGGGCGCAGGGACTGTGGTTTGATCCCACATGTCGTGCCAGCCCCACCCCCAGGGTGGGCTGAGGTGGCTACAAAAAATAAAAAACTAAACAAAAACAAAAAAAAATTGTTCTTGTTTGTTCAGCTAGCTGGTTTTCAATAATCCTCTTACATTGAAAATTCTAAGAAAAAGGGTTTTGAATGATTGCTTTTTATTTTTTTATTGCTTTTAAAAAATGTCTCAAGACACTTTTTTTTTTAAACAGAAGTGATTCTACATAGGCGTATTTACTATATTACATTTTGAAATCATTTCAATAACCTCATTAAATACTAAAGTGAACAACACAACTGAATACATTTATTCATGTCTGACATGATTTCCAGCCTTGTGACAGTATTGTGCTAAGGACAAATTCCAAATCTGATAATTAACTGACATTTTTCACATAAAAAATCCACTAAGGTATATTTTAATCACATTTACATCATCTTAAATACATTATTTTTCCTTTTTTTTGAGAAAGGGTCTTGGCTTGAACTCACTGTGCAGCTCAGCTGCACGGTGAACTCAATGTGATCTCTTTAAACTCAGTGTGATCTCCCAGTCTCAGCCTCCTGTGGGCAGGATTATCAGAATATAAATGGTATATGGTTGTTACAAATACATAAAAGAATATGACATTGTCTCTCTCTTTTTTTAAAAAGACAGCATGTAGCTATGCTGCCCAGACTGGACTTGAACTGGAGATGCTCCCACCACAGCCTAAGCTGGGCCTACACGCCATGTACCACAGCATCTAGTTGGACATCTCCTCCTAAAACGGCAAATGGCAAATTTCTATTTCTCAAGACTAAATCCAGATTGAGGATGTGAGGATGCAGCTCAATGGTAGAATGCTCATGTAGTAAGCATAAAACCCTGGGTCTGATCTCTAGTACCACAAAAAAAAAAAAAACTTCCCCACCATGTATACTATTGGTCAACTTCATTTTAAAGGCAAAGATCCCTTACATTTTAGTTTCAAACCAGTACAGAATGAGAAAAAACGATAGAAAAGAAGAAATTTACCTGTTTCCCTAATTTTCTAACTGTAAACCAGTGTTCTTTATAATTGCATATAAATGATTTTTCATTTCTACAAAAGAAAAAAATATTAAGAATTAAGTTAAAATATTAGGAATTCTTATTTAGGGATTGAACATAACCAAGATAGTAAACATCAGGCTTCTTTCAGCTTAACTGTTCTGGTAATCCTGTACCAATTCCACAAAACAAATATCACTAGTTTGTATTATAAACATGAATTAACTTAAAAAACTTCCTACTTTTTTTCTTTTTGTATTTAGTACAGGGCCTACAGGGTCTCACCACCACACCCAGTGTCAATCACTGTCTCCGTGTGCCCTGGGGGTGGGGCAGGCACAGCCACATCAGGAATGGAATCCCAGCCCCTGTATCTGTCTAAGCAGGCCCTTCAGTCCACTGAGCTATCTAGCCAGCCCCCTACTTACTTATCGACTTGCATGCATTAAACAAAATGTAACAAAGTAGGATGTGTCAGCAGGCTCATTATCATTGATTTGCTAAATAAAGCAACACATTGCTGACATTGCAGCACTCAGTGACACCGTGTCAAAGTGGCACCCTCTGCAGCACTTTCAGGGCACTATGTGACACCACAGAGTGCTGGAAAGCTTGGGAGAAGGATCCCCACAGACATCAAAGGGGTAAAGAGAAAAGCTTACGAGAATGAAACGGAACAACAAAACAGCAGCATCCCAGCGCGAGGGCCTACTCCACAGTGCAGTGCTTGCCCTGCACGCGTGAAGCCCTCAGTTCAGTTCCTACTCTCCCATTCCAAATGTATTTTTCTTCTTTAAGAAATTATAACCCTGAAAATCAAATTTGGGAAAAGAAACACTCAAAAAGCAGAAGAAAACTTACATGGGATCGACCCTGAGCCTCTGATACTCCGGACTGTTGAACAGGATCAGCTCCAAACCCCAAACTTTCAAGGCATTGCTTATAACCTGTTTTAAAAAAAACACAGACACTTTTATGCTACTCAGCTCCAAATGTGAGTGGCATAAAAATAAAAAAACAAAAACTCTGAATGGCACATTACTTGTACCAACATTATACTTTGCATGCACATTTCTCTGGAAAGCTACAATTTTTTAAAAATGTCTGTGGCAGGAATGGTGGAGTCAATAAATCCCCACACATGGAAGGAAGGCTGTGGCAGGACAGTGACTTCGAGTCTAGCCTGGGCAATATAGCAAAGTACTAAGAAACAATCTCCAAAAATATAAGTAAGCAAAATGGCTGGGGATGTAGGACCTGGACTCAATTCCCAGTACTGCAGGGAGGAAAACAAGTGTGTCTGCATGTTATATTAAATCTATAAACACATACACATATTTCAAGAGTGCTTTACACGCCAGGTTTCTGAGATAGTCCAGAGAACCATACAATTCCTAGAGAAGAGTATTTCAAAAATCCAGATGTAAATTCCTCCTTGCAGGTGCTGGTTTTGTTTCGTTTTTTTAGGCAAGGTATTATTGATAGATTCTGGCACCAGTATAAACCGCTAAATTATTATAGTGGTCATTTAATATGGCTGATGCCCTTAGAACCGCAGCTTGTCTTCCCAATAGCCATTTCCTTGCTCTTCCCCACTCCAACCCCAGACATAACTGCCTTTCACCTTCCCACACACACAGGAGAGACCCCAGTCAGCTCCTCACATGTAATTGAAACTGCCCCTCAAACTCCAGACCTAGCAGAAGCCCACACAAGTCTCGGCTTTCTTTGTCTCGGGTCAGAGGATTTTCCCATCTGCCCTTAATCCTCTCCATGTCTTTAGAGTTAATAAAGACTTCTTTTATCTTTCCCATCTCTTTATTGCACTGCTGAAAAATCTCTTATTATAAACCTCAACTGGTCTTAAGTTTACAGACCCAGGATCCTACTGCCTCAGCCTCTGCAGTGCTAGGATTACATGTGTGCCTTTGTGCCCAGCCAGGTGCTGTTCTTAAAACTAGACCACTACGGTCACACCTGGTGGTGCACACCTGAAATCCCAGGACTCCAGAAGATGAGGCAGGAGGATCACCATGAGTTAGGAGACCAGCCTAGCCTACACAGTGAGCTCAAGGTCAGCCTGAACTACACAGTGACACTCTGTCTCAAACAACAAACAAACAAACGCACTGCATGAACCACATAAGCCAGGCAGTAGCACAGGCAAAAAGTGAATGCAACACAGTCACTACACATGAACTGGACCAAGAGCGTGCAACGGATAAAGGGCATGGCAAGTGCTGGCACAAGTGATTTATGATCTTAGCCTAACTGCAGCAGCTTCTACACCAACAAGGACATAGTAAAGCACCGGACAGAAATGCTGGTGGATAGACAACCTAGGGGAGTAGCATAAGGAGAACACAAACAAAGATGTGTGGAAATGGGAGCCTTAGGAGAAGTTCTGAAAGAATTGTGGACACACCTCATACTGTTAGACTGTCAGATCTACAAGTAAAAAAATCTCAGAAGTTCTTAATAAAAAAACATCGCATGTTGGGGTATAGTTCAGTGGTGGAATGCTTGGTTAGCATGCATGAGACTCCAGGTTGGATCCTCAGCACTGCAAGAAATAAATAATGCATACAGAGTTAAAAGCTATAGGGGTAGCGGTACACAGCATCAGTGTATGCATAGCACATGTAAGGCCCTAAATCCAATCTCCATCAAGTGGGGAAAAAGGAGCTATAAATTTTTTTAAAAGATCAAAAGTAAAGGGCCAGGAAAATGGCTCAGTGGAATAAGTGCTTCCCTGCCAAGTGCAAGGGCCTGAATTCAATCCCTGATTCCACCAAAAAAAAAAAAAAGTAGAAAACAAATAAATTAAATAAATAAAAAGTACAACTATAATTAAGGAATCCAATCCCACTAGGCTGATTTAACAGAAGGTATTGAATGTAAAACATTGTTACTATCAGAAACAGGACACTTTGATTCCCAGGACTACAAAAACAAAACCAAAAAAGTAAATAATAATAATAAATTTAAAATAATTTTAAAACGTAGAGATCCAGTCCAGCCCAGGCCTGGTGAGTGTGTGGGACAGCTTCCAGCTTCCCTGCACCCGCGGGACTCCTCTGGACCAAAACTCAGGCACGCACATGAGTGAGACACTCTACTGCGCCCTCCGGACCTCTCCAACCCTCTGGAGGCCCTGCCACCAAGGCCGCCCAATGAGTGAGAACTTCTGCGACTCTCTTGGGACCTCCAGATCCAGCCCAAGTTCAGACCCACCTAGTGTGTGGGAGAGCTTCTGGGCTCCCCTGTGCCCCCTGGGCCAGGGGCACAACAGAGGGGTACCACAGGTTCACTGTTGTGTCAGAGGGGCACAAGAGGTTCACTTCCAAGGGCTACAGCAGGGAGGAGCTGAACACAACAGCCAGACCCAGGCCAGGCATAACTGGATACACTTTTCAAACTTAATAGATCTGCACCCAGATTTCAGTAGGTGCTAAGGTTATAAATGCACCAAAACTCTACACCAATGGTCAGAGGTCAGTGCTATACGAAATGACAAAGACAAGGAGCAAAATGCAATCTCAGGCCTCAAGCACACCCAGAACAAGTGCAGAGAACACTAGCTCAGCTGAAATGAAAGAATTAACAGCGTCAGAAGTAAAGAAACAACAGCAGAAAGTTATCCAGGAACTCAGAGCAGAATTCATTCCTGAAATAAAAAAAGAAGTCATCTGAAGTAAAGAATCAAAACCAGAGAAATATAGGGGAAACCCAATGCCCACCCTGAACAAGTGCAGAGGACACTAGCTTACCTGAAATATATGAATTAAAAGCATTGGAAGTAAAGAAATAGCAGGGCTGGTGAGATGGCTCAGTGGTCTAAAGCACCTACTTAGAACAAGCTAAGCTAAGCAAAGCACAGGGACCGCGGTTCAATCCCCCAGCACCACATGCCAGCCAGCCCCGCCCCCTGGTGGGCTGAGCTGGCCACACACACTAAAT